ATCTGCAAGGTCAAAGGCCAGCCATTGTTTGCAATCACAGGACCAGCTCATTCCGTAAAAAATGCAGCATCTCAGCTCATGAGTGCAACCAAAGTGCTGTACTATGGGAACTTTGCCGCCGACCCAACACCGATGCTGGAGCATGACCTACCGCTTCCTGCGTATGTGAGGAAAGATGCAATGTCGGACAGGTTGACAAGCCTGCTCAGCAATCCTTTTTTCATGATCAGCAGCAGTGCGCCCTGGCAATAGATAAAACTATATCAAACTGTAGAAATATGTGGAATGATGTGGAATGTAGGTGAGTGTATGTGAGTATATGTGAGTGTAGATATTGTCTTCCAGGGTTTCTTTCCCTGTGTAGCTTTAGTGGTGTCATTGTCATTGCAGGTTTGCTGTTCTCCTCACTGAGGAGACCTCCACGAGTGTGTCCATCGCAGACAATATGAAAGGCACGCTTTTGTGGAACATCACTTCAGCATTGTGTGTGGCGCCCTTGGTTCACTCCAAGATGACTCTAGAGGACAGGGCCGAATGCGCCATCTCCGGATTCGTTCTCCAGGACCTTTGGTCGATGATTGCGACTCAACGTGAAAAGAGTTTCAGGTGCCCTAAAGGAAAGATGCAAATGGCAGGCCAAACAAAGAGCAACATGCAACAGATAGCATTGACCACACTGGCTATCTTGACTTGCAGATCTCCTTTTTGGTATCCTTGGAACAGTTCGCATTCCTTGTCCGAAATTCGAATCGAGCACCACTTTGGGCGGCTGCGATCGCAGTTTGCGAGTGGCACCATGACTACAAGAGACTTCTTCAATGCAGCGGCTCGTCTGATGCGAATGCTGCCTAACAAGTGCCAAAAGCCTTCCTCCTCTGATGTTTTGAAGAATATGAAGATTCTGGAGGCTACAAAGCTCCTTGTCACAACTTTTTGAAGTGAACCCTGTTTATGAAATGTGTGTTTAGATATATTATGTTTCACAAATAATTTTTGTGTTGAGATTAACATTCCATACAGACTGAGAGAGCATTTCTGTAAGAGCTGATGGGGCTGTTCTTCTTCTGCAAGTGCAGAAATGCAGTTATGAAATGTATTCCGGTGCTTCTTTGAACTGGGTTGATTCCTGGGCACGGAGGTTTTGCATTTTATAGTCATTTTATAGTGTCTGCTCAGGATGCAGTCACTGACGCAAAAGGCCATTGCAGCTGCGATCCACTTGGTTTCTCGTTGCAGTGACTATCCAGTGCAAAAGCTTGAGCAGATGTACCACGTACAATGTGCCAGTGCAGCCTTTGATGACATGGAGAAAGAAGGTGAGGATGAGCAGTTGGAGAATGGGGGCGACCAGGAGCACGAAGCTGAGGATGCAGATGCTGTGAAGCCAATCCTGGATGAAATCATGAAGGTTGCAGCTGAGGAGACCGCTGACAACAACAAAGAAAGTGAAGAGAATGAGCCTGCGGATCGTGACCCAGACTGCGCTTTGCCGGACAGTGAGGAGCTTATTGCATTGACCTCTTCATGTCCTGAGCCAGCAAACAATGCTGTATTGGATGGTGCAAAGACCTTTCCCAAGAACCTCCGCGAAGCTGTGGCAGATTCGCAGGGCCTGTGGTCGGGTCTGTGGGGCCTAGCTGTGCATTTGCGATGTGGTAAACATGGGCTAGATGGTAAGTTCCTCAAAAAGGGTGAGGTTGTCAGGCACCGCTCGCGGCACTTGAACTGGAACCAGTGTCCTTCCTTTGCGAGAGTCGTAATTGTTATGATCTATTTTTCAACCATGTTCAACCCTTTAACTTTCCCATGCAACATCATGCAACCATACAAACCCATACAAACCTGATACCTGTTGCTACAAAGCTGGGCTTTCTCTAAGGTGCCTCGAGCAAGAGCTCAAAGCAGTGCAGGAAGCTGAGGGCGAAGCAAGGGCAGGTCAGAGGGGTTCAAGACTATCGAAATGGATTGAGTCAACAGCAGATGCCAGGAAGAACACCAAACTCAACTATCCAGAAAAGTTGAAGAATCTTGGATCAATAGAGCCTGTTAAGTTAAGACAGCTGCTGGAGGTGGGGCAGGGCAGCAGAGCTGAGCCAACAGTTTTGGTGTTTTTTATGTGTCGTATTGTGTGGTTGTGTTTGAGGATTGGCAACGTTGTTGTCTTGAACAGAGCGCACGGGGAGCCACTGGTTGCTGCCTTGATTTTGACATTGTGGCCGCATGGCAAGAAGCCAAATCCATGTGCTCAGGAGGCGCCCGAAAATACACATTCATATGCAGTCGTACAATGTCATACACATACATATATATATGTTCTTATAAAATGTGATCTCTACTTGTTTGTAGAATACGCATTGCCAAACTGTAGGAAGAACACATTTTATATAACACTGGCTTGGCACACTGTGTAGAGAGAGAAAGAGGAAGGCAGCACTCAACAATGCTCAGCACAGCAGCTGGATATAAGAATGTTAGAGGACAGTTTTTTTGGAATGCACTTTTTTGCTTTGTTTCCAGTGCCTTGTGTGCAAGGTGCCACTATCTGCTGTGAAGACGTTTCGAGCCACAATCTTGGAGCAACAGGACGGTCATGTATTTGTGACTACTACTACAACCTGGCTATACACAGTCTTCCATGTGGTGGGGATCTTGGATGTGGAGGATGTCACTGGCAAGAAGATCTTGCTGTCTTCCGAGTCTGTGGAGGCTTTTGCAAGGCTGTCTGCCCAAGACTTTGAGGAGCCTGTGGAAAATAAGAAGAGGAAGAGCGAAACGCAGCAGGTCTGGGAATGCAAATATATATAAATGTCACAGTATGCCGCGATGTGTTGTTATGAAATAGTTGTTGGATTCTGTATGAACCTGCTGAGTCCGATTTCCTGTCCAGAACGCACAGAGTCAACATTTTATAACACAAGATTGTTTCAGGTAATTTCAGGTACATTCTGGTAACATTTCACAACTACAGTCTGGATGTTTATTAAATGTATTGCCCAACCCAGGTTTGTTCCATCCTCCATCAAATTGATTTGGATACATTTTATAAATGGAAGTTCTCTTGCATGCCCCCTGTTTGCAGGTGACTTTCGCACATGCAAAGGCGCAGCTGAAAAGGGCAGGGCGGATTGGGACAAGCAAGAAGAAGGTCTTGCAGGAGCTTGATGTCCAGGCTTGCGACATCAAGCGCAGTGATGCTGGCCGCAAAGCAATCCGCAGGATCCTTCTCCGTGTAGCAGAGCTGGACTTGGTGCACTGGCCTGACTCTCCTTGCTTTGAAAAAACGAATCAGCTGCTTGGAAAAGCAGAGCCTTTTTTTTTGGGGGGGGGGGTTTGGGGCCTTTGTATGGTGCTTGATGGTGTCTGTATGTCCTTCTCCAGTGGGTGTCTCAGGACATGCACATTGAAAAAGTGTTCTGAGATCACCTGGGACAACTTTATCAAGAATATTCCGTTCTTCTTCCAGTTCAAGTACTTCGGCTTGAGGAATTCGCACCAATATGGACAACGTGTCGGATCTGATTTGCAGGCCATTATGAAGGCTTTGAAAGCCAAACCTCCGAACAGGAAGCCATACCAGAGCCTCATCCAGGAGTTTGTGGAATCCAAAGTGGGAGGCCATGTGTCTATGCAGTGATCACATCGTCAGAGATTGTACAGTTTCAAATGTAGGTTTGGCATGGTTTGGCCAAGGACAGGCAAAGGCTCCTAGAGAAGAGTCGCATGCAGTCACACCTGTGGACATGTTGAATGTTTATGTTTGATTATGTTTGAATATTTTTGTTTTTTTTCATGAGTGTTCCTTCTGCCTGATGTGGGTTTGGCCATGGGTACCTGAATCTGAAGGATTCAGGCAACAATGCCAAGATATGCCAATTAAAACAGCAGAAAGGATGTAGACAAAGACAACAGCCGTCAGAAAGACGATTTGCCAAAAAAAAAGAGGGCTGCATAGGGCCGCTGAGCGTGTTTGGAAGTGGGTCAATGCATTTTATTCAAACTACATTCCTTAATGTTTGAGTGTTTTCGCAGTGGGTCAATACGTTCTATAAGCAGCGGGCTGCGCTATGCTGAATTTGGGGTGTAGTGTTTTGACATTCTATAAACCCAGCAGTTTGACATTTTATAGTGCATTTTAGGTGGTTTTACATTTTATATCACTAATTATTTATGAAATGAAAATCCACAGCCAGCTCCTCAATCAAGGGGGGATATTGTTTTACTTTTTAATTGGGCTATATATGTAGCTGTTATGAGTTTCAGTGAATTTCATATGTCATCATTAATATCAAACATGTGGTGCACTTCAAGATATTTTATCAGCAACATCAACGTAAAAGTCATAACTTAAAGGATTTTCTTTATCAACATGTGTTTCCGGTATCATCATCACTGATGTTTGTATGATTGACGAAATGAAAGGTGAATTGATCTTGCATATCTCGTTTTACCTTTATTGATTTTCTACAGCCAATGTGTTATTTTCATTTCTTCAGGATGATGTAATACTTTTTAAATGGATATATATATATATATGATCTATTTCTGTTGCTTTGCCTGACGTCAGGCATGACGGCCGTCATGAAGTCATCATGACAGGCCTTCAGGGTCAAGACGTTAATGCAAAAATAACAGGACAATAGAGGAGGTGAGGAGGCCCTCATGTTCCAAACCCGTTTGAAGCAGGTTGCTGTATTAAAACGATGGAGGGTGCCAGATTCTTGCATATGTTTTTGGGGTTCTACCCCAACAATATTCGAGGAATTTGTGATCTATCTGGTGTATGAGTAATGTGGCGGGGAAGATTCGAGCAAACCGTGTTGCATCAGTAGCTGAATGGCTAGGAGCCAACCCCTGTGAATTTTTTTCCCTTGGCAACCTGCCGCTTCATTTTCATCCCCCCTCCTCATCGTCACTCGCCGTCGCCATCCTCATCATCACCGTCACCTTTGGTTGGAGCACAGCGCGCCCCTCGCAAACCCTCGGCCTTTCAGCTGCGCCAGGAAGCGCAGCTGCAGGCTGAAGCAGCCCTGGAGGCCCTCAAGCGTGAGCACGAGGAGGTCATTGCTGCAGGGGGGAGAAGTGCGTGCAGTGCGTGTGTGTTGTCGTCCTTCATAAACCAGACCAGTGGTGTGCTGGCATTGGTCATTTCATGTCCAACCAATCCTAGCGGGGGACCTCGGGGCTCCTATTCCACTCATCGCTGCCACGTTTGCGAACCAAAACCATCCATTTCAGTAATCCGGTGCGACAGGCATTTTGGCCACGTCCCGATACATGAACCTCAGGATCGGGTTCGGGTTCGAATCCCCGGATCAGAGGACCGGCATGGTCGCGCAAGATCGCGACGACTAGGCGATGATGATGACCAGTGTGCAATGCATCCAATCTCTGTAGCCAGGACAACATACACATGAGAGAGAGATAGAGATAGAGAAGGTGAGGTGAGGTGAGGTGAGACATTGAGACCACGTGAGAGAAAGAAAGGGAGCGTTTCTTGACCCCACGGAGAGTTCATCGAATCAGTGACCAACCTGTCCAGGTCTTAAGGGCCCGAGACGCGGAGCACGAGAAGCAGCGACGGCACTTGGAATCCTTGCAGGAGAACGGGGGGGGCTGCTCCCTGCGCGTGGTTTCTGTCAAAGAAGTGCTTCAGGTCGTATTCCTACATCATAATTTAGGCTGAAAGGAGTATGCTTTGTGTACATCTCCTGGTCTTTTTCCAACGTGGTGAAGTCTGAAAGCTCGCGAAGGTTGTCCAACTTGCTGAAAGGGTTCAGAACTCACCCTGCGAACGACTTGACGAACCTCGAGTGAGCATCTTCGAATTCTCGAGAGGCGCCACTACTTAGTCCAAGAGATTCCCCGGTACAGGGAGCTCCCAATCCTAAATAAAATAGAACAGTAATTCCATCCAGAAATGTGATAGACACCGTTTCTATTTAGTGGGGGGCGCGTCGGGGGCCACTTGCCAAGCTTTGCTCCTTCCTACCAGTTGGAGGCCATCCCTATTAGGTTGGAGGCCATCGCTCTCAGGTTGGAGGCCATGGCTATTAGGTTGGAGAAAGCTTTACTTTGCGAACCAAACTTCGCCACACCCCGCGCCCGCTTCGCCATTTGGACACTCAGCGCTCAAGCCGCGCGGGCTTGGGCTGATACCGAAGCCCTCAAGGGTGCCGTGGCATGAAGATCGCCTTGGCCCAAAAGTTCTACTCCGTAGACGGTCCGTAGATCATGGGTTTTTCTATGTGATGGTCCATTTCCATCACCTTCAGAGTTGAATTGGGCTTTGACACCACTGGATGTGTGTTGGGTGTTTGCTTGTGCTGCATCCTTGGTTCTTCTGAAATTCGGGGGTCTTATGAAATCACTAGGATGATACAAATCTAGATCTGGTTCAATATTCATTTGGTGCCAGAGGGTTGCCTTGAGGTTGGGAGTGTGAAGGTTGTGACCCTTGACCATCAAGAGGATAAACAGGTGGTTCTTCTTTGTTTGTTGACATTTTGTAGTTAAATCAGAGAGCTTGACAGGTTTTGAACGTTTTGCTTGTTCGGTCTTTGCGCCAAGCTTCAGCCAAGGAGCTATGAGGTTGCGATCCTTGGGCTGCAAAGGCTGTGAAAGCAAGGGGGGTAACTTAATAACAGACTGTCAAGTCATGTTCATTTGAATGACCGAATGACCAATGGTTCTTGGCCTTCTCATGATTCATGATGAGACAAGCCCGTCAAATTGGTGAACATGGGGGAATGAGCATCCATTTGCAAGCCATCTTGCAGCATGTTTGGACCTGAGCTGAGCAGATCTGGGGTAGAAATCCGGAGGAGGCAGGTAGTGATGAACTCAGAACTCTTGAAGTACACGTGGACGGAGTGAGTTCTGCCCAGCACGTGGCCTCTGCCAAGTCCTGCACCGGGTCGCCGAAGTCAGTGTTTCGTCCCTCAAGTGAAGAGATCGAAACTGTTTTCGACACATTTTGACACCTGCAAGAGGTCAAGAATCTCTTTCTTCAACAGTTTGGATAGTTTGAGGGGCTCTTTCTTCAAGAGTTAGAGACGAGATGAGAGAGGGTCTCAGTTGATCTTTCCTGAGGCGTAGCTCTCCTTCTCTTCATAGTCGGACAAGCAGAGGAGCAGTGTCTCTTGCAGACGCGAGCGGGGCCCTCCGAGCTCCCGGCACATGTAGGGCCAACGCGCATCCCGTGCCATGGCAGATGTTTTTTGCTCCGGCCTTGGTGAGCACCAACCGAATGAACTGGCAGGAGATGTTGGTCAACCAGTTTTTAAACGTCCCAGAAAGTCCTTTTTGAGGATCAAGTCGTTGGGCAGTTTGAGAAGAAGTTCTTGGAATTATTGCTCTGGGCCGTTGGTAAGCCTCCAATGTTTGGATTCTGGTTGGGCAGGTCTCATTGGGGTTGGGGTGTGGGCAAGAAAGATGGCAACATAAGTGCCCCTCAAGCCATTGGGGTCGCCAGACGTGCGCTATTTGAATCAGACACTCAAGGACACTCAAAGACACTGAAGAATGTCCTTGAGTGTCTTTGAGTGTCCTTGAGTGTCTGGTCTATATTTTGGATAACCTTGAGTGTTTGCTCTTTTTGGATAACCGTGAGTGCTTTTGGGTGTCTGGTCTTTTTGAATGCAATGAGTGTCCTGAAGTGTCCTTGAGTGTCTGGTCTATTTCTTGGATGATCTTGAGTGTCCTTGAGCGTCCTTGGGTGTCGTCTAGTTTAGGTTTCATATATATATATATAGCATTCGTGGAACTCTGGATCCTTAGGAGTACAATCTCCAACAAAAACCGGCAAACCTTCGCAGGACTTAGTGGCAAGCGTCTTTTTGATGATGCACTAGCTTTATAAGGAATTTTTGTGCCCACCCTATTTCCGCACACGCATTGTGGGGAGGGCAATGGTATTCCTGGGCGAAAGGGGCCCAAAAACAAAAGGTGAACAACGAGGCAAACAGCAAGAACGCAGTCAGAGGAACCATCGGAAGCAAGCCCAGATTGTTTTGATGCATATATGTGACTGGCTAGTTGACAAAAACGACATACATAACACACCTTTGTGGTGCAATGGGGGCAACCCACCCACGGTTTTCCTGTGCCTTGTACTCGCCGCTCTTCGGGGACATTCTTGCGCAGCCTTGCCGAAATGGCGCTCAAGTGCAATGACGTTGAGCAGGGTGGCCTTCTGTGTGCACCCAGCCACCTTTGGGTAGCAGAAACGAATACCATGATCAGGTCTGGAGACTGCTCCACCCAAAAAGATGGCACGTGACGGTTTGACGGATGGGATAACATTTGCGAACTTTTGCCGCTTAACTCCTCCATCATCCAAGTGTTCTGCATAGAAATCCACTCATTCATGTCGTTGTCACTACTACTTCTCCGGCTGACCCATGAAAGAGACAATGAACATCTGCAAGAGGCTCGCAGGATTTTCTAGTTGGCATCTACGAGCGTGGATCTGCGTAGCATCGTTTCACATCCTTAGCTCTTGCCTGCTGTTCGGCCGCAGCGTCCCCAACCTCCACATGTCATCTCGCTGGAGCAGGGTCCTGCTTTGGTTAGAAACGCTGGGGGCTGGCGGCTCCATCCAAAACAAACTTCTTTCAGACCCCGGAGGTTTGACATGCTCTCAAGTGCGCTGAAGAAGGTCACATTGTAGTTAAACACATCTGGCCGCCCAGCCCCCGAGATTTACACTCTCCGCCCCAACGTCACCTCGATCCATGCTTGGGGGCCTGTCAGTCGGCCGGCTGCGCTCAATATTTGGTACGGGGCTGCAGAGATGTTAACGTGTAGCAAAGCAGTGTGGCGCCGGTCAGCTCTCAGCTCAAGCTTAGCACGCCCGCTCAGTTTACTATGCATCCTTTTATTCTATTGCCCCTTCAAACCTAGCCTGCAGCTACCTTCTTGCTGAGGACGCCGGCCTTGCCTCGAATGATTTTTTTGCGAAGCACCTTTCTCTGTCGCAGTATTGTTGTCCGTCTGCGCTGTTTGTACCACCGGATGATGCGCCAGAGTTCCCTCTTGAAGTCTTTCGCGCTGCGGACATTGTAGTTGCCCTCTGTGTCATGTAGCTTCACGCAGAATCGCACGCAAAGCCGCGCCAAGGTTTGTCTATCTGGCACCAAGTCTGTACGCCAGCAGCATATGGCTGCCCCAAGAAATTCTGTATTTCTGTCTTCTGGCTGTTTGAAGCGCAACAACTTGTCCAGATCAAAATGTCTGTTGCGCACTGCTTCAACCAAAAAAGGCGAAAGGGCCTGAAAGGGGCTTGCGACATCTGTCTCACCATGTCCGTCACTATTATGGGCGCGTGCAACATGCCGAGAACGATACCAGCAAGTGCAACACATACAACACCCTCTGTCGCAGTCTGTCCTCAGACAATTCGCGAAAGATGTGATCAGCCGGACAGGGTCTGTGCGGCGGCGCTGGCAAACGGAGTCTAACTAACCATGAAATTCTTGTGACCTGCCAAGAACCTTGGACCGTCGCTGCTGGTTGGAGGCACAAGTCTGGCCAATGCAAGGACCTCGTGCTGTGGGTCGCCAGTGATCCTCAGTGAAGCAGGTCCAAGTGCATACCATGAATTTGGACGCGCAACATTTGAAAGAAATGAATACACTGGTGGAATCTCTGGCTGGGCAAGTCCTGCTGCTGCGCGGTGCTGTCTCCTCAGCAAGCTTTTAGCCATGATACAAGAAAGGCAGCTAAATTTGAGAACCTATAGGGGTGCGCATCAGCAAAACTTGGCCAAACTGGTTTGGATTGATTGCAAGCTATGAGATCGGCCAGGTTCTCCAAATCTGGCTTCATGTGGGTCCAGGACTCAATGGGCAGCAACTCGCACGGCTTCAATAGGCAGCCATCCAGCGGTTGAAGGGCGAGCTCCTGACAGCTGGCGGCGCTGACTTCACCGTCCTAGAACTGTGCACACAGTTGTTTGATTGGTTGAAAAAGTGATGCGTGGCCGTGCCTTTTGATGCGAGAGGCTATTTTGAAATTACCGTCTCCCTTCACTGCACTACCTGAGTACGGACAGGCGAACTTCTGGGCCTGGCGCAAGACCCCGCGCTGGGCGCGAAGTTTGGGCAGGCAAGAAAGCACGCCAAGCTGCTGTTGCGAAGTGGCCAGCCGGAGAGAATTAGATGCATAAAGGTCAAGAAGGTGGCCTTTGACGGCAGCTGCTGTTGGCGCTTCGGAGAACTTCTACACCATTTGCGCCAGCCAGCGTCGCAACACACGTTGCTTGGAGTCCAACAAAAAGGTAGCCCGCTGGCATAGGTCACGATGTACCGATGCAAGCAAAAAGGACATTCCATCCATGGTGGGCGACGTGGGCGGAGCATCGCGATGCGTGATGCCCCTAGTGACCCTAGTGGGGGGCAATATTGATATGTATGAGCAAGAATGGATATATATATATATACATACTTTTCTCAAATCACAAAAAGGCACAGGCAAATCATTCTTTGGTTCCGCCCTTCCTTGGAGCAATGGACTCGCCGGATTCATACCTATGAGCAAAGCATCATATACAGGAAACATTTTTCGAGCAACGCGGAGAATCACATCAACATGCATCAGTGG